GCATTTTACAACATATTATCTACACCGTCCATTTTCAAGATTTTCAAATGTTTATAGATCTAGTTGATTTTAAATATTTTTAAAATTTAAAATTTTATAATTAAATATAAACATAGATTTTGAGATAAACCTAAAAACATTTTACATTAAAATTACATACCATGATAAAATTTGAAGGTGCACCTCACCTCTACACTTATGGATGCATCCGTATGCAAACTGAACCTATTTATCTTTGATACAAGGTGGTCACAATTAATCTTGACTATTGGATGTGAAATTGAGTTGCTATATTTATTTCATTGACCAAGCTCAAAGTTCAAAAAATTTTTTGTCAAACTTTGTGAGGCACCCAAGCTATCAAATTTCACATTGGATGATTATAAACAATCGTGATATCTTTGTACCACGGATAAATGGTCTTGTTGTATATAATCCCATTTCCAATTAACTCTTATTTTTCTCGTCCTTAGGGTTTTTCTCTCAATATCATTGTATGGTTATTAGATCTCTTGCTTGGGGTTTCTATGTACATAACCTCTTATGAGTACATACACAAATAACCATTCTAACTAGCTTATTAGTTGATTACTTGAATTAAAACTTTTGTTTGTTTTACATGAAGATTAATGTTTTTACCCTTAGTCCCCAACAAATATACAATAAATGCACACAAATATATTGGTCTTTTTAAATCCATTTTTTCTTGTCAAACCGGAACGAATCATGTTCTTTTTCCCTATGATTTTCTCGCATTGGTTTATTAACTTTTTTTTTTTTACCCAACTTTTCAGGACCAAAACAAAGCATACTGAGCATTATTTTTCTTGTTTGCCGATGTATTTCCATTGCACTTACAGCTAACCATATTCATTATATTCCACAATTTCTCACTCTCTAAAATGTAAAAAATAAGATATAATAATCATATGAATCGGCTTGGGTTTGAGTGGTTAGCAGTTGACATCAAGTATCACAACTGCTCAAGTTTGATTCCTGCCACTGAACGATCCAAAAAATAATAATAATATAGGAATCATAAAAAATAATAATAATATAGGAATCATAATTGTGATCCGTAAGACCATAAAGATTGTCCAATCACAGGATGGATGGGGATAGGCAGATGTGCATAATGTAGAAAGGATATGCAATGATCCCAGTGCTAGGTCCACTCCGTATGCATTACCATTCATCTATTGATCAGAGAGAGATGACCCATATTCATCTGTTGATTAGACAAAGATGACACACTTCTATATTTGTTTCGCATGAAAATATTTCACACCAATGGGTCTTACATGTTTGTTTCACATGAAAATATTTTACACCAATTGGTCCTAATACATCTTTTCACACCAATTGGCAATGTGAAAATATTTTAACATGAACCAACCGTGGTTAATTGACCACTCTCTATGATCACATTATACTTTTTCCCAAGCTCCAAATATTTTCACACAAACCAAACGCGATTAGTTGGCCATTATCTATCTCTATGGTCATATAAGGATCACATCTCTCTCTGTGGTCATATATGGATCACATTAATACTTTTTCCAACATCCAATAAATGTGGGTGCCCTCGTTCGTACCATGAGAAGTATGAGGGTATGTGAGAAATATTTGGATAAAGAGAAGGGCTTTGTCGTCATCACCGATAATCATTTCTTCTCCCTGTGGAGCTGCGTTGGAAGCCAGGTTGTACATAACAAAGAAGGAGCCAATTGAATTGAAGGAATCAAAGCTATTTTCCATTTTTAAATATTATTCCTTCCATTGATTTTTTTTTTTTTTTTCCATTGACTTTTTAAAATTCAGGGCTCAGAAGAATTAGTTCTCCTCTCTTTCTCTCTGGTTTTTCACTGTTTGTTTGATCTTTGTTCCCTCTTATTATTGTTTGATCTTTGTTCCCTGTTATTGTGAGCGATCCGTGGGTTTGGAGCCATGGCATCGGCTTCTCAAGATGCCATGAACAAGATGCAGGTTCGCCAGAGTTACAGGAATCTATGGCATACAGATCTCATGAGCACCATGCAGGCCGATCTTCCCTGTAAGGTTTCCTCTCTTTTCTCTTTTGTTTCTGTTTTTCTTATTTCGTTTTTTCTGTTCAGATGCGAGGTTTTGAGAATTTAGAGTGAATTGAGAAATTCTTCTTTGCTTCTTCCTTTGTAGCATTGTTCTTTTGACTCTGTCTCTGATTCTGATGATTGTGTTCGCTTATTGGTCCTGCATTTTGCAGATTGCTGCTTTGCGCTGTGGTGGTGAGTAGTTTTCCTCGCTCGTTTGGTTTCGTAGGGGTGGATTTCTTGGTTGTTTTCTTTCGGAAGATGACATTTAATACTATGGATTAGGTGGAAAATTTGAGGAATAGAAGAATGCTCTTTGTGAAGTTTGTTTAATTTGGATCAAGATATCATTTTTTACCAGCTGATTAAATATAGAGTGTTATGAATTTGAAGAATTCCATCAGCAAAGCATGCTTAGCATTCTTTTTTTGTTTTTGTTTTTTGTCTTTTTACTTTTTATTTTTTACTTATCTTTAAGTAGAAGAATTCCATTAAGAAATCATCCACTTCTGTGCACTTTAGCTACATCTTCTTACTTTTGGATTCCTTGCAATGCGTTTCCTCATTCAATAACTTCATAAACACTTGAACAACCACGATTGAAGGACCCGTACCTTTCTCTACCAAAACTAGAGCAAAACTTCAGTCTCCTCCTCCTCTATTCTGGGCTCTTATCTTATGAACTTTAGAATATTGATATCTTCAGCCATTTCTTCGTCATCTCTGCTGACAAATTCAGTTAGCCTAACTTTACAAGGCCCAACAGCTGGTTAGCTTCACTTAAAATTGTTAGCTTCTCATTTCATAGTCTCATCTTGTCTCTCTCAACTTTGGCCAGTGTTTCTTTCTTTCCAAGTCTAACAAATTTTTTTGCAATGTATCAACAGCTAAGAATGAGGAGGTGGTTTTGATTTACACATTCCTCAGGCCAGCTTTAAACCCTGTATCAGACTGGTAGCACCCACATTATCGAATGCGTTTATGTAGTACTCTACCATTTCGAATGTCCTGAAGTTCCACCCGTAATCGGATGAGCTACAAGTCAAATTAAAAATACGATTAGCCATCTATTGTAGGTCATGGGCTGATCCACCATGAGTTGCCCACCATGAAGCTAGACAATAAAGAAACAAAAGGAGAATAGGACTTAGAACTCAGAGAAAACTTGAACATAGAGATTAAAGAATACTTTTAAGAATCTAATCATTAAAAGTTTAAAGCACACCTTCAGGAATCTTTGCACTTCGCCCAACTGCCAATTCTTAGCCAAGTGACCCTACAGATAGCCTATACTTTTTGAGATCAGTTGAGACTCTATTTTGTACATCTGGGACTTTATGAGTTTCATGGTGCACTGATTAATTGCTGCCATGAAGCAATTCTGATTCGCACTTCTTGGTCAGCATAGAAATATCTAGGGTTAAGAAAATACCCTGCAAGGTGCAAGGTCCTGTCCAACTGCCTAACCCACTCGTCATCCATTATTTTCAAGAATGGGGCATACCTATCTTCTTCATTGTTTAATTTAGTCTTTATGTCCTCTCTGACTATCTCCATTGCCATATGGATATATGCCTCATGGGTGGTTGCTTTTCCCCATCCACCATTCTCAACACTTCCACCGTTGGGCCCATAACAGCAATGGCAAATTTGCCCCCGTTGCAAAAATCTAACATCTAAACTAGTATTTACAATCTCCTTCCCCTTACTAGTTTTGGACCACTTGCTTTTGGTCCACTTCTCTGAAACAAACATTTTTTTTGAGCTTTACTCTTTGGCTTTAAATAGATTGTAGGCAAAGAAATGCGGTGGCAAATCTTGTATTCCCAGGCCTCAGCAACTCCTTGTCTGTGTATCTCTTCATGAGGAACAATACGTATTTACATGAGCATAAATAACACTTAAGTTAGTAACTAACTACTTAGTATTATGATGAAAAACAACTAGTTGTAAAATGTAATATGAAAAAATATAAATCGACTTATGCAGGTGTGGTTATATATGAACACCGATACTTTCCTTGCTTTGATGAAGGTATTTTGAATTGTGCCTTCTTTGTAAAGGCCTAAAGATTAAGGTCAATGCAATGTGCTGCGCATGGTGTCCGAAAAATATGGGGCTTCTTGCTCATCAATAAACTGCCTGCAGTCAAGTTCAATGTGGCCAAACCCGTGACTACTTAAACCCCATACTCTTTCCCCACCTCATCTGTAATCTTATCTACAGCTTGAAAAAGGAATTCTGTATCATGATACTTATCAGATGCATTTATAGAGCTAAGGAACATTCCGTAAGGGACAATTAACCATAAAGTTCATAATACTGCAGCTCTTTCTATCACTCCATAAAAAGAAGTCCTTATTGTGACCCCGTATGTTCCCCATGCTTCCTTATGTGTCTTCATGTATGTATTTGTGATCTCATTTTCTTCTTTTTAGCAAGGGACCCTTCAACTCACAAAGAGTTGGGGCATTATAGCGTGGCCTATACTGACTAGGAGCTTCAAACATGACTTTGAAGCTCTTGCATGTCATTGTATTGAAGGGAATTCCATTCTTGTAAAACCATTGAGCCACATACTGAGACACTCTATCGCTATCCTTAATCTTATATTGTCTCTCAATGGTTGTCTGGCCCTTCTCTCTCATATCAACCTCAGGGTTAGGAGGGTGGGAGAAAGAATCTATAGGCCCCCTTGTTTTGGGCCTCTTATACCGAAAACCCCCTCCTTGGAGTCGTTGCCTACTACTTGGGCCCTCAGCAGCAGCCGGTACATCATCATCTGCCTCTACTTCAAAAATATCAACTATCTTGAGGAGATGAGCTTCTTTCTTTGAGGCCGGTTGTTTCTTTTTCCTTACCCCCTCTAGATAATCTAACATTTCTTGCTTTACAGATTGGGGTACTTGTTTGCATGATAATCTAACATTTCTTGCGTTACAGATTGGGGTACTTGTTTGCATCAGGCCACCCCCTCTAATGTTGGCTAAGTGTTTCTTCAACTGATTAATACCAACATTGTAACAATTATTGCAAAATTTGCATTGCACTTTTTTTTCACCCTTAGGGTCGGGACAAAAGCCAGACTTCCAATCTGTATCCGAGCTTTTATTTGTAGATCTTGAAGATAACATCTTCACGTAAATAGGACACGTCCAAATCATAAATCACAAACCAAACCTGAGCGTTCACCCAAAAAAAATGTGAAGGACAAATCAAAACTCAAAAGTAGAAGAAAAAATAAAAATATGCTCAAAGTTTCAATTTTCAAACAATCAAAATATCAATCTTGTCAATCCATATTCTTAGTTGAATTTGTGCAAAAAAATCCACAATTAGAAAGTTAGAAACAACATGATAAACCAAACAACAACAATCTATCAACATTCTAATGTTGTAAAAAATATAAACAAATAGATAAAATAAACAATAAAGAATGACAAAGTTAGAGGTAGAACTTGGGTTTGGGTTTAGGTTTAAGTTTATTGAACTTTGGATTTCAAATCCTAATCCTAATTTCAATGTTGAACTAAGAAGCTTAAAAACTTAAAACACACCTAAACTATGCAAATCCATATACTAAAGTTGAAAAAAAATCACAAGTAATACCAAAATAATGAACGGAAAAGTTAGGGAGAAAATTATGTTTGATTTGATTAGGTTTAATGAATTTTGGGTCGCAAATCATAATTTAAATTTGTTAAAAAAAAAAAAAACTAAAACACGTTAAAACTGAATCACATTCTAAAGATGAAATAAAACACAAATATCACAAAAAAAGAAAAAGATAATATGTATAAATATCTCATAAAACCCTAATCCAGAACTTGAAATTATCTAACTTTTAAAGTGGAAGTCTTTAAAGCTTCGAAAGGGGGAGTTTTGGTTGCCAAAAACCTCTTCTCAGAGCTACCTTTCGATTTCACAACAAATTGAAAATTTTATATTTTTGCTCGATCTTTGATTTTTCACAGAAATTCCAGATTTGTGAGTTTTTTTTTCCTCTAAATTTGTGCTAGTAGGGTTTTGGGGGGTTAAAATGACCCTAAAATATCGTAAATTAAAAAAAATGGGGGGAAAAATGATGGAAATTGCCCCGACGTGCCCCCCTTTTTGTAATTATCACGGGGCTCCTACGTGCCCGCCTTGTAACATAAGCCCCATGCCTGCCTTACTAGCCCTAGGCGATGCGCCCAGGGCCTCTGGTTGCCTAGGTGGTCTGCCTAGGTGCCCGCGAGCGGGTGAATGAATTTTCCAAAATGGATTTTTATTACTTTGTAAGTGTGTCCAAGTGAGACTCACACACCTACAAAATTTTAGATCAATCTAGTTTGTAGAAAACAAAGTTTTAAAATTCAAATTATTGAGTGCGCAAAATTGGCCGTCCATTTGATCAACTTAGATTATTCTGAGCCATTGGGTGTACACTGTTCCTTAAGCGACATGGCTAACAATATCATTTCTTATACACACAATATAGTTGTTGGAAACAACCATTTTTCCCAATCATTTCAGGAATCAGAATTACAAAATTGAGGGTGGCCAAATGATTCATATTTTTTGAATTGCCGTCCATACAATGCATCTTACATGAAGTGAAATTTCTACCATTTGGGAATTGCACTCCTATCCAAAAGGAGTCGAGATTCTTACCTTTTTGGAACCACTATCCCATCAACTTGGAACCGAGATTCCAAGCTTACGAGAATCGTGCCCCAAACCCCTTGGAGCCTGGCCAGAAATTATCACAAAACGCGTTCCAAAAGGCAAAAGATTTAAGGTTTTAAATTATCTATAAAACGCGTTCCAAAAGGCTAAAGATTTAAGGTTTTAAATTATCTATAAGCAAGAATTCCTTAGCATTGGACTCCATGTGTTGAATATGCGTATCAAGGCTCCCCTATTGTTGGCATGATGTCGTTGACAACCCTTCCCTAACAATGGAGTCAATGTATTGAGTGTCCTTTATCACAGATTGAGTACTCTCCTAGAGTAGAAAACAAAATTACTTTATTCATTAATAATGTATGGTTCACAATAAGAGATTATTACAAATTCATGAAATTTAGGAATGATGTAAACTAGAGTTTGCCAGTACCCGTAGAGTTTTTATACTTCAATCATGTACTAATTATTAATAAATTTTAAATAACAAAAATTTTCAAATAAAGTTTAAGAAGTTCCAAGCTATTCCTAAAAATTGGAAGCAAGGTCTCATATCCGTTGAATCACGGTTTGGTGTACTCATGAATTGGAAATTTTGGTGAGGTAGAATCCGGATTCCAAAGACATCAAGATTAGATTAAAAAAAACATAGAATTGTGATTTTCAACTTCCAAGAATTGGGATTTGTGGCGATTCCTTCACAGAAACACGGAATCGTGATTCCAGTACCTAGGGTGGACGATTCCGGTAACCATGACATACAATATTATACTGTCATATATATTTATTTATATTTACACACTGCTACAGTATAGTGAGTGAGTGATTGATTGTAGTCATCTTTATAATCTCTGTTCATAAAACCACATATCAAGTATCAAAAAAAAATAAAATAAAATCATGTCTCTAATCTTTGTTATTTGCCTATTTTTATAAGTGCGGTGTGGTGCGTGTGTATGTGTCACACTAAATCATATTGTCTACTTGTTTGTTGATATGTGGGAGTTTCGACAATTGCAAGTTATGTTTTTGCATTTCTCTGAATTTCATATCCTTTTTTTTTCAAATACACACCAGTTGTTTTCTTCACTGGATCATTGCCATTATATGTATTTCTAAATAAACTCTTGTCCCAAGGTTACTACTCTTTATAACATGCATTGTATTCATGACAATTCTAAGTTAAAATTATCTGATTTTCGACTCACAAATTGTGTTCATGTGTAATGAATAGCGTGCAGCCTTGACTGCATTGTGATACATTTCTGCTATAGTTGGGTATCAGAGCCTAGACCTGTGGGACCCTGAACCCATGTTTCAGGGGATCTATATTTTTGAGAGAACGCATTCTTCTATGACTAATCGCATTGCAATCCCTTATGGTAAAGGATGCGATCCTAAGTGATTGAGGATTGCATTCCATTCAAGGTCCTGCTCCTAATCCTCATGATCAAGGTTCCTAAGTGGGCCGCCAACTGCCTAAAAATCTCCTTGTAGTGGGGTTGGGTTTTTGGTAATTAAGAACTGGAGACTTGACTGTATCAATTTATTTTGTGTCTCCTACATTGGGTATTTACTTCTTACAATGGTCAATTGTGTATGAGTCTGTTGAGAAGCATGCATATTTACCTCAAGGTATTGATAATGAATTAAGAAAAAAGTCTTTTGACCTGTATGGGTATCCTTTCCAAAGCTCTCTAGTTGTCATCATCATTAGATCCTTTTCCCAACTATTTGAGGTCGGCTACACAAATCCCGATTTGTTATTTTGCTCATTCAGAATTCATGGAAACTTTTGGCACAGAACCCACCTCTAAACCAATTTGTCCAAAACCCTCTAGTCGAATTTGTTTAAAATTATGAGTTGCATATGCGTATGCCATTTGAGTGCTATGGCTTTGGCATACCCGTGGAAAATTTTGTTGCAGAAATCTCACTTTCAAGTGCAATTTCCATCCCCAAGATTAATGCTTCCATGGTGATCCCTATACTACTCTTCAGTGAGCTAATAACCTGCAACGAATATCTGAAAAATCCATCCTGGCATGGTAAAATGTACTAGATTATTTGTGTACATCATATGCCCTTGTCATTATGCATATGGTCCCATGAGTTTACGCCTCAACTGGGTAGTTCTTCCTTGCATTGTGACTTATGATAAAACCCCCTTTTGCAGTCTTTTCAGACCTCAAATGTGATTGGACGCATTGCTTCAGTTCCCTCATCATATTAGGCTCTGTCTATCTTCTTACATGAGTGGGAGTTACATCTGTTGTGCACACCTGTGGAAAGCTTTGTTCCGGAAACCTTTGCACTTGTGTGGTATTCTTGGTCCCAAACTCAACACTCCCACTCCCATGACCATACCTTCTTGTTTCCTCGTGGAAGAGAATCTATTTGTCTGTTTGCCTCTTTAGTTCCTAGAAATGTTCCCTCCTCTCTTTAATTATTCTGTGGGTTTGTGCAATTTATATCTTTTGAAATTTATTGAATCTATGTTCCTACCCTGGACATATATATTTTGATTATATAATTGGGATAATGAGTCATTTCATATGTATATTGTCTCCAACTAAACTCCATTTCTTGAAGTTAATCTTTCAGCCTAATGGTAAAAAAGTGATGAAATTACATACACTCAAAACAATCAGCCTTGTATATTGGTGTTTTTGCCGCTGTATAGGCAAGAGGTGGATTAGATATCAGGGTTTAGCATATTTGAGAAGATTATACTTTGAAATCAGATCCATAATGAAATCGCTTGCACTCAGAACAATCAGCCTTGTATATTACTGTTTTTGCTGCTGTATAGGCAAGAGGTGGATTAGATATCAGGGTTTAGCATATTTGAGAAGATTATACATTGAAATCAGATCCATATCATGGCTTGAAAATGTCTTTGATCTCTTTAGGTTCTTCTTAATCATTCATAGACAGTTGAGTAATGTCTCTTAATAATTTTTTAAGTCATTGGAAGAGGGAAATTTCTTCCGTTGCTGGTTTTTCTGATAATATGCATGCAAATAAGTTTCATTAGAAACCAAACTTTTGACTCTGAGCCAGTCTTATTCTCTTTATGTGATGGCAGTGCTCCATGTGCATCATACTTGCTTCGCAAAAGAGCTCTCTACAATGATATGACAAGGTATTCACTGTTATAGTTTACCTTGAGCACTTCTTCTCTTTGCTTGTTTTTGCCCTTTGCATTACAAGAATGGTCCAGTGATTGTTTTCCTTAGTGGCTACTATTCTTTTCTACAGATATGTATGTTGTGCTGGATACATGCCTTGTAGTGGAAGATGTGGAGAAAGCCGCTGTCCAGAATTTTGTCTATGCACTGAGGTTCACAAATTAAATTTTTTCTAACCTCTTTTAGATGTGATGTGCAAAACATGAGTATGTGCATTTGGTTGTAGATGATTGAGTGTAAAGAGATACCCCATCTTCGTGAGACTACAGTGGTTCTTACCCCAATGCTCAAGAAAATGCTACGGTTGCCTAGGAGGTCGGGGAGGTCTAGGACCTTTGGATTAGGTGGGTGCCTGGGTTTCGGGGCAACCCCCCCCACCCCCTCAAAAAAACAAAATCCTAAAAAGGAAAAACACACACACTCACACCCATGTGCGCACAAACACACGTACTCTTCAAATGCACATGTTTGCATATATATATATATAGAAAAAAGATAAGGTGTGCATCCTAGCTTATATAAGTTAAATGCGCCAATGGCTCAGATTGAATTTGGGCCGATCTGACGATCACGGATGTCCGGTAGTGTTTGAATTTTAATTTTTTTTTTTATAAATCTAAATCACTTGAAATTATAAGCATCTGTTTATCAAAATTAGGTGAATATTGGAAAAATATTAAAAAAATATTTTACAAGAAAAAATTGACCAAAATACCCCTGTAAACTTTTAGTGTATTTTGGTCAATTATGTTTTTGCGAATAAATTTTTTTATATTTTTATTAGGTGTGCCTTGATGAGAAGAACATACACCTAAAATTTCAAGTGATTTGGATTTGTAGAAAAACAATTAAAATTCAAACACTATTGGACATCTGTGATCGTCAGATCGGCCCAGATTCAATTTGGGTCGTTTTTGAAATATACATTCTTTTCATTCTAATGAACAATTATAAAAAAGCAAAATTTGAAAACACACCTTAGAAAATGTTTTCTTAGCCCAATTAATAGAGGTTGTCCACTTTGGTGAATTGCTTAGATCTATCTTAGTAGTATTTTTTTTCTTTCCAACATCTTTAGATGGCTTTATTATAATTGTATTAACAATGTTAAAAAAGAAAAAATTTATTTTGAATTCGTAAAGGCCTACATCTTGAAATTAAAAAATAGATGGTCTAGATTCATTGTTGGAGGGAACTCATTTTGACCATATTCGGTGTGCAAATTGATTTTTATTTTCTTTGATATTGATTATTAGGATGAAGAGAAGGGGTCATAAAGATACCACAAACATGGTTTCTACAAGTGTGATTTTGTTATATTACAATGGCATAATGATATGAGATCATTTGCGTTTTATATATATATATATATATATATATATATCGGAAAACACTACAAAACGCCTATAGGTGAAGTTCTACGGTATTTCACCTACAGCTTTATCACCGTTTAAAGTTTATCACACGATCACAGATGTCTGATAGTGTTTAAATTTTAATATTTTTTTTACAAATCATAATGATCTGAAATTTTGTAGATATGTGCATCTGAGTGAGATGCACATGAATAACATATAAAACAAATAATTGGAATGATAAAAATTGAACAAAAATACCCCTATAAAGTTTTATGCGTAATTTGGTCATTTTATTTTATGTCTATTATTTTTTTAGTATTTTATTTTGGTGCGACTTAGTCATATATACACACGTCCCAAATTTTAGATAAATCTGATTAATACAATAATTATAAAAAATTCAAATACTATCGGATAATTGTGATCATGTGATGAACTTTGGACGGTGATGAGGTGTAGGTGAAGTACTCTAGAACTCATAGTTTCAAAAAGTGTTAGGCAGGTTCTAGGCGGCCTAGGGGGTCCAGGTCACCTGGCGCCTAGGCGGGCCCCCAAAACCTGAGCGGTCCAGTTGAATCCAAAAAGGATGCCCAGTCAAATATGTTTCTAAGGACTCAAAATCTTTCAAAAAACCCCTCAATAGATTTATAAAACATCAAAAATTAAATCTAATATCAATGGGTGATATTTTGATTAGTTTTTGTCAACTTAGAAAAAAGAAAAATTTTCGCCCCTAGGTGGGGCAACCGCCTAGGCGGGTTTCGTACCGCCTAGGTGGGGCCCAGGCCTTGGGCGCCGCCCGCCTAGGCAGGTTTCGTACCGCCTAGGCGGCCGCCCAGGGACTGCCACCCAGATTGGCCACTTAGGCTTGGGTGATGCGCTCAGGTCTTCTGGAGCGCCTAGGCGCTAGGCGGTCTGCTTTTTGAATCACTGGTAGAACTTCACCTCTAGGCGTTTTGTAGATACTTCCATATATATATATATTGTCACACCCCAAGTTTACTAATATTCCTGAGGTGTGAAAGACTATTCTTATACTATATATAGAATTAATTAAGAACTTTATGCGATATATTGCACCAAAACTGATATTTCTTTTAAAGTTTTCGAATTTGTACAAAGTCTACTCACAACTTATATTAACATGAATGTCTATATATATACAATTTTGATTACAAAAGTTATAAAAACAAATTTGATTTTGACTACAAACTTCTTCCAAGCTACTCCTTCTGTACATACGCACCATAAGGTTGCCATTACTTTGAAAATAATTCACAATAGTTTGATGAGTTTTGGCTACTCAGTAAGTGATCATCATAGTCCTTAAAAAAAATCATGTGTTAGAAAATGTAAATATTTTGCATGTTGAAACAATACGAGGAAGAGCACCCATGGAGAACAATTTTAAGTAGAAACACACAATTTCAATATAATCCAAAAGATTTGAATGCATATATAAATCTTTTAACAGAAATGTATAATCGAAAAGATTAAACAAAGTACCCTATTGATGTCCCAAGTAGGTCACTTATATACTGCACTAGCATCCTGAATGGGTCCACTTAATCCCTGCAGGTCCATTCATACTTCATCGACGTATCGGATAAGTCCACTTAATCCCTACCGACGTACCGGATAGGTCCACTTATACCTCATCGGCGTACCGGATGAGTCCACTTAATTTCTACCGGTGTACCGGATAAGTCCACTTGTATATTTAAAGAATCTCTGAAACTCTTTAAACATCAGGAAGCATCAATATTATATATTCAAAATATCTTTGAAATTATTAACATGAATTCTTATGAAGCAATCGATATCAGTCACTTTTACTGTCCTTTCCATAAATAACCAGTCAATCATATGGGCTATAGTAGCAATTCTGAGAGACTTTCTCGAATCTAAACATGATAAACAGTCTATTGATAATAAAAGAAATCTTATGGAAATCCAGAATTAAATACTGAATTTTTTTTTCAACTGTTTAAAATCCTGAAATATTATATTTTTTCAAATAATCATATTACAAAACTTATAGCATCTAAGATTTACAGATGGAAATATTACAATTTAATTAAACACAAAAATACAAAATTTAAATAAGCATTTTACAGGAAAACAAAGCCATTTGCACTCAACACTTACAATATCTAAAATTCATACTGATAGACAGAAATACCAATTTTTAAATAACTATTTTACAGGAAAACAAGATCACTTATTTTCATATATCAGGAAAATGTTCTACTTATACTCTCATGATGATATTACGATTTTAATAATATTTTTATCATCATACTCTCTTGATAATATTATGCTTAATAATATTCTCATTATTATACTCTCATGATATATTATGCTTTTAATAATAGTGACAACATACCCATCTCGTGACATATAAAAGCAAGTGATCTCATTTTCCTGTAAAACAATTATTTAAAAATTTGTATTTCTGTCTGTCAGTATTATTTCTATCGGTATGAATTTTTGATATTGTAAGTGTTGAGTGCAAATGCCTTTGTTTTCCTGTAAAATAGTTATTTAAATTTTGTATTTTTGTTTTTAATTAAATTGTAATATTTCCATTTGTAAATCTTAGACGCTGTAAGTTTTACATGTTCCTGTAACATGATTATTTGAAAAATTATAATATTTTTGGATTTTAGATAGTTGAAAAAAAATTTAGTATTTAATTTTAGATTTCCATAAGATTTCTTTTATTGTCAATAGACTGCTTATTATCTTTAGATTCAAGAAAGTCTCTTAGAACTGCTACTATAGCCCATATGATTGATTGGTTATTTATGGAAAGGATACTAAAAGTGATTGATATCGATTGCTTCATAAGAATTCATGTTAATAATTTCAAGGATATTTGAGTATACGATATTGATGCTTCTTGATGTTTAAAGAGTTTTAGAGATACTTTAAATATACTAGTGGACCTACCGGGTATGCCGGTAAGGACTAAGTGGACTACGTCGGTGAGGTATAAGTGGATCTATGCGGTGCGTCGGTAGGGATTAAGTGGACTCATCCGGTACGCCGGTGAGGTATGAATGGACTTGCAGGGATTACATGAACTCATCCAGGACGCTGGTGGGGTATATAAGTGACCTACTGGGAACGCCAGTAGGGTACTTTGTGCAATCTTCTGAATTATGCATTTCTGTTAAAAGATTTATATATGCATTCAAATCTTTTGGATTATATTGAAATTATGTGTTTCTACTTAAAACTGTTCTTCATGTGTGATCTTCCTCATATTATTTTAACATGCAAAATATTTACATTTTCCGACCATGATTTTTTTAAGAACTATGATGATTACTTATTGAGTAGCCAAAACTCATCAAACTATTATGAATTATTTTTAGAGTAATGGTAGCCTTATTTTGTGTATGTATAGAAGGAGTAGCTTGGAAGAGGTTCGTAGTCAGGATCAAATTTGTTTTTATAACTTTTGTAATCAAAATTGTATATATATAGACCTTCATGTTAATATAAGTTGTGAGTAGACTTTGTGCAAATTCCAAAATTTTCAAAGAAATATTAGTTTTGGTGCAATATATAGCATAAAGTTTTGAATTAATTCTATATATAGTATAAGAATAGTCTGTCACATTTCAGGAGTGATTTCGCCTACCCTCATCACCATCAAAGTTTCATCGCGCGGTCACGATTGTCCGATAGTGTTTTATTTTTCATTTTTTTTCTATAAATCGGAATAACCTGAAATTTGGAGTGTATATACATCTTACTGAGGCACATCTAATAAAAATATAAAAAAAATTATCCGCGAAAAAAAAAAAATTTACCACAATCTCCCAAAAAGTTTCGGGGGTATTTTGGTCAATTTTTTTCATGTAAATTTTTTTTTTTTATATTTTTCAAAGATTCCTCTATTTTTGATGAATACACGTTCCAAATTTTAGGTCATTCCGATTTGTAGAAAAAAAATGAAAAATAAAACACTTCCGGACAATCGTGACCACGCAATGAACTTTGGACGATGATGGGAGTAGAAGAAATCACTGTTCATTTTCGCCTGTAGGCGTTGCGTAGTGTTTTCTTATATATATATATATATATATATATATATATATAATGTGTCAATAACGTATCCAAAATCGAAATATTAGTGGTATAGGGCTAAACCGGTTAGCACATACCTACAAGTCAGCTCCAATGCCAAAATATCCTCATATAATCTCTCTTGACAGTTCACAACAAATCATATAAGAAAAGAAGTTAGGATTGAATTGATTTCTGAAACTTCATGACTATAAGACCTCAAAAAATTTTGAGAAATCCACAAAATTTTTGATGCTTTTAGTTTGAAGTGCCCTAAAATAGTTGAAGGGGGTTCGAATACTACCCCCCCCCAATCTTTTCCCCCGTTTGAGCGGGAAAAAGACTAAAGTGCTCCTTGCCTTGCAAAGCCTTAGAGGTCCTTACTTCTCCCTCCCCTCACCCCCTTTCTGCTCGAGTGATGGAGGGCCTCACCCGGTCTTGTACTCCCCTTAAGGGAAGTTGTATATGGCTATTTCTAGATCCTCTACCAATGGAAGGCCCTTTGTCAAACCTCTCACTAGTGTCTAGAGTACCCTTCATCCAAACGGATGCAAAACCATAGTTATTAGAATCTCTTACCCAAGGTCATGATTTCGATTCAAAATCCCAATGCGGTAATTTTGACAAGGAATCTTCACGGAATCCGTTTCTGTGAAGTCAGAAATCCCAATTCCTTGTTTCAGGAATTTTGATTCCAACACCATAGAAATGATTTTCTAATATTTATTGATTCTCAATATGACAAATGTTAAATCTCGATTCTACATATGTTGAATCTGGATTTCACATATAATGTTACTCTCTCCATCAAATTAGAAACACAAACATAGGGTCATGAACTACAAAATAAACGATTCAAAACCTATGAGAAGTACCAAACTAGAAACATGATTCCAAAGGTAACATAATCTCGATTCCACATATGAAAGAATCTTGATTCCTTATGAGTTGATTCCAAAGAAGTCAGAAACTCGATTCCAAAAGGGATAGAATTTTTACCCCATGTATGTAGGAATCTTAATGCCATTTGGGTTAGAAACCATCTTACCAACTCAAACTCTTACCTTCAGGAGGACATTTTGGTTCTGGATATGCAGGTTCTTCTTATCTAGTCATGGATAATCCAGGAATCCAGATCGTCTCTCAAAAACAGAATGGGAATAATTATAGCATTATAAAGCTTGATCGGTTCCATTTTTCCTTGGAGGAAACAAGTCTTGGGGTTACATAGATGGTTCGATACCTTTACCGGACTCATCCAATACCATGGAATTAGTTGATTGGACATCCAAAAAGAAGTTGATCATGTCTTGGCCGGTGGAACCTGTGACATTGCAGCCTGTCACGAATCTTGATTCCTATAAAGTAGGAGTTTTATTTCCTGGAATTGCCTTTTTACGGAATGTCAATTTTGAAAACAAGAATCTACTAGCCAGTCGTGATTCCGTGATTTTGATTCCTAAAACAATTCAAAATCTCAAGTGTTTCCAACAACTATTTGCAAACCACCTAAGCAATGTCCCCTTGCACCTTCCCCTGCAGTGCCTCAACTCATTTTCTTACTCTTTGCTACAACTATGTCCATCTCATTAGGCTTGTGGTTCCACCCCCCTCTGGTTGGCCCCTCCGTAATCTTATAAAAATGCCATTCAAAAGATACCAACCACAAATACAGCCCCTCCTTTACCCTCCCCTCCTCTCCAAACTTGCCAAGCAAAATTTTGGCCACCCCTTGACAACCCCCCCCCTCCCCCCCCTCCTTCAAGGGCCGACCCAATGCAACAACAAAAAAAACACTCACCCCTCCTATGGTCATCATCGACGATGAGGAGATTATTAAGGAAAGGAGGCACCTCTTCTCCCTCTCACTAGTGGCAATATTCTCCGTGACCACCAGACATGACATTTGAGGCATTAGTAAGTGGCACAGAGGCTATGGAGTGTCCCACAAATGGCTTGCAGGAGGTTACTCGAAGGGGAGTACCTCTTCTTCCATTTTGGTGAGGAGGTTCGAACTTCAAACTGCAAAAATTCTTTCAAACTAATGATTCAAAGGAGCTCTGCTCTACCTCATCACGTGGAGCCTTCTGAAAGGAGTAAGGAAAAAGATAAGGCTTTGAATCTTATTGGAAAGTATTCCACTCCAAGCTTGGCATCGGGATTCTAAAAATAGGAGTAGTCTATGGGATGCTCTTGAAGGTAAGCTGGAAGAATATGGGAGATTGCACATGACGATAATGCAGATACTAGGTAGAGATATCCACCTTAGCCTCAATCTACAACCTCTATTCAACTGCAAGATGAGTTCTCCTTTCTCATTCACATTAGTCATAGAGTTTAGCTTTGTAGCTTTGAGCTAGTCCAACTGCCAAATCTTGCTCATGATTGTTGGGATCATCATCCCAAGGACAATGGAAAAGGTCTCGACCACAACGCAGAAGGCTGTAGAACAATAGTTAGGTGGAAGGAGAATTGTAAGTGGTCTGGTCCCTGGGCACCAAAGTCCACAGCGGTCCAGTGGTTGACATGGCAAAGGTCCAGCGCTAGATTAGATAACAATAACCTATCTAAGCAACCCATGTGGAAGAACAAGTGCACTTCAGCAGAGAAAAATCTCTGTTTGCCCCCTCCTTCCCCCCACCTCCCACCCAGGCCCAATAACCACAATGAAAAAAAAAAAAAAAACTCTCCTCCCTTAAGAGAGTCCCTCTCAAAGCATTAATTCCTTTGAGATCGAAAGTTTCAATCCAAGGGAATTTCAAATTCAAATTGCCTTTCTGTCAAGGGTCCTTAAACCGCATCATCACAGTGGTACATCTTACTTAATCCAGAGGTGCCCCTGCACTGCATCCCAAGAAATCAAATATTCCCTAGAATGCCCTTCAACAGAGCAAATATCGAAGCCCAACGTGTAATCCTCCCCACTGTTGATTTTGAACCCTGGAGATTAGATAGATAATGCAGATTTGACCCCTATAAGTGGGGGCTCGCATATAAGGGATCATGCGATCGCACGTGGCGCTTAATCCCACCACCCCTCTACCCTACATGGCACCAAACTAGCCTTCCTCTTCTCCTCTTTATCCTGATCATCCACTCGTCCTTGTAATAACCAGCCTGCTACCTGACAACTCAGTACCTTGTTCCGTAACAAAGTACACAAACCCCCGAGTTCAACTCTAACGGCTAGGATTCGCTTAACAAGTCGACCCCCATGATGGCTTCAATAAGCCAAAACAGATCAATTACCTTGGCTCGCCATCGACAACCCAAGAGCAGTCATGACCGCCATCCAAGCATCCAAGCAAAGGAGAAGATAATTCTCGAGACCTCATGCCAACCAATGGACACATGTATATTGGTGTGAAGCCCATTTGCATGTCTAACCCCTATCTGCCCCATGATCGGCAGTGGCAGTGGCAAGACATTGCCTACCTCTCATTATCCAAATGGTTTAGAAAGAGATTGTCCAGTTGGCTTCACGTGGGCCTGCCCCCTAGGAAGACTGCCAGCCCACATGGTCCAGACCCCCGATCGACCGTCCGTCATACTTGCTGTGATCAATGAACGAAAATTCGGCTGCCCAGCCGCCTAGGCGGCCGCTAAAGCGGCATTTTTTGAAAAATGCGTAGTTGTGGACTAGGCGGCTTTTGCTAGGCACCCGCCTAGTCGGTGTAAAAGACGGGTGCCTAGGTGCCGCTTTGAAAATATGAAAATTAATGCGTAATTATTAATTTATTAATTCGTAATTATTAATTTATTAATTTGTAATTATTAATTTATTGAAAATGCTTAACTAGCAGAAAATGAGTGCAATGATTGTTGCAACCATTAATTTCATTTAAAACAATTACTGCAGGTAAATACATAGTATGACCACTTTCTATTGAAGCTATTGTTGGTGTGCAAATTGGAATGAATTCGCTTTTGAAGCACCGATTTGATGGGGACTTTCTGCCTTTTTTAAACTTGACTGTCTTCCTTATGCATTTTTACAGGTCTTCCTTTGTTTTGGGAATTCTGTAGCCTCAACTCGATTTCTGTTGCAAGATGAGTTCAATATCCAGACAACACAATGCGACAACTGCATTATTGTATTTCTCTCTCTCTCTCTCTCTCTCTCTCTCTCTCTCTCTCATTTGCATGTGCTACAGGGCATTTGACTTTGCTGGCACAACAGTCGTGAATTTATTTATCTTTTCTATAGTCAGCAATTGAGACCCACAATCTGGTTTCAGGGATTTATGGTATGCCTCCAACAACTTGCCTGCATATTCTCAATTGTTGCGATGATTGTAGGAAGTAGTGAAATTTCAGAGGCATCACAGTTGCTGAATTGTTTGGCAGACTTTGTTTACTGCACGTAAGTCTACCTTATACTTCCAGATATCCGAATGTTCTATTTCATGTTACTAATATAAACTGTAGATGAAAAACTTTCTTCTTCAAAGTTTATATACCGAATAGAATCTCCACTCACTCTTGAAAAGTTATTAGACGCATCTAACCTGACATTTTGCCATTGCCTTGCAGGGTTTGCGCATGTATGCAGGTACTTAAGTGAATCCTTCAATGATATTGTTACTAGTATATAATAACTGATCGACTATGGAAACCATAATCCGTTGGGTGATCACTGCCCACTGAAGTGGATGCTGATGGAGAGAACATGGGACCCACCATTTGGAGTCATGTTCTGTTCTTGTGGGGTCCACTCCATACCCATCCATCATCTCACTGGGCATTGATGACAGTGCTGGACTATAGCTTTTCATTGTCGTCGTGGATCATGTATTATATTCTAGCTTATCGTATTCGTGTTTGACTGTACTAACTATCTTTCCATTTTGTTTATGAGAGAGGTAATTTGTGGGGTTATTTGTGCAGACCCAGCACAAGGTTGAGATGGATAAGAGAGATGGTGTCTTTGGGCCACCAGGCGTGATGGCTGTGCCCCCAATGCAACACATGTCACGTTTAGATCAGCCTGTTCCTCCACCTGTTGGCTACCCTCCTCCCTACCCTGCACCACAACCCTACCCTGCACAACCAGCCTATGGCCAGCCTTACGGATACCCTCCTCCTCAGGGCTACCCACCTGCTGGTTATCCCAAATGATTGTTTGCATTACAAGCTGGATTCTTCAAGACCTTCCCAACAAAAGTTTCGGTTGCCTCATTTTGTTCAGTTTGAATTTGAGGAAACCGTTTGATGGTGGTTCTTTGGACACCAAAATTTCTGCTGGTTTACATATTTGTGGTTTCTACAATGTGGCAGTTATGAATGTTCCGAACATACTCTTGGGACTTGATCATGGTTTAGTGAGCATTAGAAACTTGGGAATGTGACAGCAAATGTGCTAGTGTGAGGATTATTATACAGGCTATATGTCTAAAGAGTGGACGTTAAGTGTTATTGCTGCGAACATGATGCATTTATATAGTGTTTATTTGCATGTCCATACTTTTGTGCTTTGTTTTTTTTTTCGTTGCTTCTTGGTCTTGGTGGGAGTTAAAAAATCTTTACATTCTCCAGTTATTTTGTTCTTGTTACTCTTTTCTCCTATGACTTGATAGATCTTTGCATTAGGTATGGAAATCATTTTTCTGTTGTTGCATTGCACTTATATCTCTAATAGCCTTGAAGTCTTTGAACATGTCATTTCAAAGCCCACGCCTTGACGAAATTTTGAATGCGAACCTGAACCATTTTGAAAGTGTTTCAAACAGGAATAACTTTAGAAAGGGAATGGGTGATTATCAGAAAGGCAATTGGCAAACACTGTCAAATATTGACAGATCAATCCCTGGTGTACAATCAAAAGTGTATGATATGCCTTAGGCACTATCTCCACTTTTGGAAGGTGAGGCATGGTCTTTGTTGAAAACCAACGCGTCAATGGAATATTGTTCAGGCATTTGAATATAATGGAGAAGGTTTTCCATAAACACCGTGGGTCAAGATTTGCCAATCAGGCCTCCTTAGGGAATTGTTTTGGAGGTGAATTGCATTTGCGGCTATGGTTTTATGAGGCTAAGGCTCTTGGGAATGTATATGAAGTTAAGGTCGTGGTGCTTTTCTCTATCTAAAGATAGAAAAATCCTTTCGAATTTTTGGTTTAGTTCTTTACCACTGTGGACTTTGGCTTGACCTTCATGTTGCAGGCTTATATTGCACAAGAACTTTAGCACTCGCATTTGGTAGAGTGCGAGTTCAATGCTTTTATGAAGCAAATCTTCTCCCTTTTTAATGTAGGCTTTCGTATCTTATTATCAAATAAAGATACTAGCGCATGCTAATAATCAAACCAATAAGCACAACTTTCCTGCACAATAGCTAGAGAAAGAAATCAACCATGGAAGGGGAAAGAAATTTCATAACAGTAGGTAAAAACAAAAAAAATCCCCTTTTTCTATGTAAAAAAACTATTTAAACTCTCTGGGAGAATGCTTTCACTTGCTCACTTTCCAGCCATAGACTTTACGGGTCGGTACATCTGTGGGCATCCCCAAGGTTGTGGATGAGAGGGTGGTTTAAGATAGATTCCATCCACTGCTTCCCTTATACTACTGTCAGATTCATCAATACCTTTTGATCATTCCATTAGGTCCCCTAGGCTAACTAGGTTTCTTTCTCTATTCAGAAGGCATCTTCAAAATTTGCTTGATTTCTTATCTCTTTCTTTGGAAGTTTCATTTAAAAAGAAATACGATCTTCAATTGGGTCCTTAGGCTGGTCTCTATGAAATTCGATTAATTCAACATCATTGAATATTAAGGAAATATCAAATTCACCAGGTAATTTCGTCTCATACTACATTTTTATTCATATGCATATCGTGTTAAGCCCCATAGGTTTTTTAACTTTTTGTAGGTCCTCATAGGAAACCTCTCCTTACGCAGGATATCATAACAAGGTCTCCCCCTCAATTTCATAAGGCTCTCTTAAATCTTCTTTTTCTCTTTCTCTTGTGAATGTTTACTCGGTCTTGTACAGGTAAAGGTACAAAATCCGGAGTGGAGCATGGCCAGTGGGCCTACTCACTAGGGCTTATTCAAATTCAGCTTAACTACAAGTTAAGTCTGATTGAGATACCCCCTTTCCAACTATGCAACACAAGATTCCAAGGATTCTATTTATCATTTCATTATGGCCATAGGTTTGAAGATGATAAGTACTATTGCAGATTGAATTCTTAAACCATATAGATCTATTTTCCATCAAGTTAATTTAATTATGTTTGTTTTATGATAGAAATTATTTTAGAATTATTATTAGAATTTTTGAGTCTTTTGATATTTTATTTATAATTTTTGGATTTATAACAATGAAGATATTATTTTTTTATAAAATTATAAAATTCAAATAACGTTTTAGAAATTATTTTATTAATTTAGAATTATATAAAATATCATGGAGGCCCGTAATACATATGGGCCCACCATGTAACAAGTGGGTGGGGCCCACACATGCCACGCATGGGTGACATGCCCCACCTCTTGGTTGTTTTCTTGTACACTAAGTTAATTTAAGATTTAGTAAGATATAATATGGCATGTGGTCAAATAAAAGATATGTGAATATTTTGACCAAATATTGAAAGTGTATATTGACTTGATAAATCTTTGGAATATTCTATGAAAAATTATAGAAAACGTAATAGTTTAATTAGATTTATTTAATTTCTATTGATGGAAAAATTGTTAAGAAAACGGGGATAGTGACCCATGCACCTTCCATAATGTTGATGACCCATCTATGAAATAGATAACTCAAATCTCTCACCCCACAAGTCACCTTTGATCGATGGTCTATGTTCAATCTCACAAGAAGAGGCAAGCCAAGAAAAACCCTAAAAAATCCTAATCTTAAGGATTGTTTCTACCCAAAATCTCTACACGCTATCTCATGTACCTAATTCCATATTTCTCTCATATCCCACTTAGATTTTTTTTTTTTCTCTCTCTCAAAAAAAGTTTCTCTCCCACATTGTGAAAGAACCTAAGAGTTTAGGTTATGGAGTTATTCTCTCTCTTATCTATCAAATATGGATTTATGGCTAAGTGTTTTAGGGTTAGCAAAAAGAAAATCCATCTCTCTTAAACTAAGTTGCTAAGAGAATTCACATAGGATTTGAGTTTGTGATCAAATGGGTTCATGTTCTATTGGTGTGACTTAGCCAAAATTTGCTTTTCTGGTTCGAGATTGAAGCTAAACCGTTGATCCCCCGTCATCGAATGGTGGTGACTCGGTGTGGGATGCAATAAGCCCAGTTGAGGTAATGTTCGTTACTCTTTCTTTTGTTTATTGTAATATTGTCTTTTATTCTCAAGCATAGTGTATAGTTGTTTCAATGACATCAAGTTGTTAAGATATTGGTTTTATTGTTATGTTGAATTTATTTTGAAATTTATCTTGTTATAATAAAGACAATCTGTAAGTAATCTTTTGCCAAAAAAAAAAGAAAGGGGTGAAATAAAAAAAAAAATTTCGCGATAAAAGATAGTATGGGTCTTTCTTTCATTGGTATCAGAGCTTTTGATACTTGATGTCATTAGTTGTCTTTTCTCTTTATTGGGTTGAGATAAAACATGGAAATGATATATGAGAAAACTAATGACCTTTGTGGTCAAGAAATACACCAACCATTAAGAATTATTGAAATATTCCAATACCGAAAAGGCACTCTGCATAATGAGTATTCTGAGCTATTTTGAAGTAGTGATATGAAATCATCAATGAAGGATGTCAATTCTAACCTTGTAAAATCCAGGAAGTGTTCATTGAGTTCCGTGATTTTTCCCATCAATCATATGATTTTATTTCTTGCTGAAATTTTACTGTGACTCACAAAATTGAGTATACTTTCAAGAAAAAAAAGTTTCATCAAGAAATTCTTTATAGTTTGGAAGATATGATCAATTTATTGAGCAAGTGCCATTTTCTGCAACGAAGACTATTTCCATGACTTGGAAGTCATGATTTTGTTTCTATACTTAACATCATGTTTTATAGTCCATACTAAAATTTTAAACTTTCATTATGAGTATATTTTTTAATAAAATTTAATTTAAATAGAAATATCTACGGGAAGAGATGAATAAAAATTTTGGATTGAAGAGAGGTCATCTTAAATTTTCTGTATGTTCTTCATTGAGACATGAATAACTATATTTATCAAGCCTACTTAACAGAGTCATATGAGGCTTGTAGAAATATATATGTTATAATTATGTGTTTAATTTCAAATAAAATTGGTTTGAAATGGAAACTCCAAGAGAATAGAGGGAAAAAACAATTTTACTAGCTAGTGTTTATCCTGGAATTCTGCAATATAATTTATTTTGTGAAGTGAATGTCACTTATTTATTTCTCTGAAGAAAATATTATTTAGGATTCAAACTATAATGTTGTGATTTGATTTTGAGTCTAGTTTTCAACACTAAAGATTTCGAGGAAGAAATTCTCTGAGGCTTGAGAGAAACAAATTTTTTTATTCAAAGGTGCTCAACTTGATTTTCTGCTGAAAAAATTGCATTGTGACCTAAATGTCACTAAAACGAAGACTCACTAATTAGTATGATTTAGGGATGGAACTGAGTATTATTTTATACTTTTTAGTCTATTTCAATACTCAAAGGGATTCGAAGATAAACTTTTTATGAGTTGACATATATCATATTTTTGTCATGGGATGTTCATGTTCTATTATGCAGCAAATTGAAAGATGTGACATATTAAGGCACATCTTTGGAATTCTAATTATGGAGACATTTTTAAGGCTCATTTTAAAAGGTTTTATAGTATACCATGAGTATGATTTATTAAAGTACAATTTCAGAGAGATATAATACAGAGTTGGCAAGATAAGACACTCTATATGAAGAATGTTCGATTTGGGAATAGCAAAAAGAAGAAAAAATACAATACTTATAAAAACATATTGGTTTCTTCGAACTGAAGGGATATATAGAGATGCTTGGTGGTAACAAAAAAACACTGAACATCAGTGGGAGGATCAAATTTGTGATGTTTGAAATGATGAGATGAATAATATTATTTTTCGCGGTGTGAAAAATGAAGAATCCAAGTGCCAAAAAGATGGACACTTATGACATGTGAAACTGATGACCACTATATTCTCCATTAGTTGCGCGCTCTTCCAAAAGCTTGTCAAACAAATAAAAGCAATGAATTAAGAAAACCCAGGTACCACATTACATGGTTTTGAGGTATGAAATCCATCCTACATTACATGATAAGGTCTTATAGGGAAAGATGATTCAATATCGTTTTATGTTATATGTTTTGGTTCTTTTTTTGCTAATTGTTTTATGAATATGTATGGAGTGCATATACATTAAGTGACATGTGTTAACAAATTTGAAAGAGCTAATTTTTTAATAGCATGTGTTTTAGTGCGTCATTGTGCTATAGTATGAACTACTTAAGGTAGTAATA